GGGATTAGCTCACATTTCGATATCAACTGGACAATTTCATTTTGCTTTCAGATTGGGGTTTATTTTCACTAGGTAACTATTTTTTTTCCCTAGTAGTAGTAGGTCTTAGTAGTAGTACTGGGTTATGAAGAGTGGATGTTGGATTTTATAAAGTGATTTTTTTTTGAGCATCTACTAGGATTTATTTTGAATTATGAACATGACAAATTATAATGTTTACTAATAAATCTTTACATTGTGTGAATAAGATCAAGTTAGTGATGGTTGACTGTTATTTTCTTATAATGTTAAATGAAACGTTTAGTTAAGGAAATTTACATATGAAATAAGTGGTATTTTATTATTTTTGTTTTAATTTTCAACTTTTTTTGTCATGCTTTAATATCTGAATCATGTACAGAGGTTTCATAGAACAAATTTAATCTATTTCTTTATCATATTCTGAAAAGGTTTATATAACTATGTAAATCTCTTCATTTGAAGTTTGAAAGAACTTATCTATAAAAAGAATTTGGGTACAAGACTATATGTGGGTTAATTTTTTTCTTACGTGGTATTCATTTTCTTCTGCACTTATAGCTTCATTCAAATTTCCACCACTTATTGCATACTTTTAATACTCCTGTGTGTTAGCAAAACACATTCCTTGAAGTGGGAGTGCCATTTGCTGAGTAAGTCTGAAAGTGGAAAACATTCAGAAATGTTATTTTTCTCTGTTTTTTGTCTTAAGTAGATTTTTGTTAGTTCCATTTGTTTTGAATTTCTTTATTCCTCTACATATGATAGCAGGATTTCCACATTACATTCCTCTTCTTTTTTTTTTTTTTAAGTTTTCATTACATCTGTGTGCCAGATCTTGGTTCATCCTTTAATGTTTCACCTTTCAGTGTAATTTTGTTTCAGATGTGTCTTTTCAAATTAGCATCAAGTTATGTATTTTTTAAACTTTTTATTGAAGTTAAAAACATACAAAAATACACATAGTGTAAGTGTTAGAGTTCAATTATCACAAAATGAGTTCACCCATATAATCATCTTCCAGGTCAAGAAATAGAATATTACCACCACCCTAGAAGTTTTTGTTCCCCCCTAATCTCTACCTCCCCAAGTGTATTAGCTGGACTTTTAAGAGCATATGACTTTGTTTTGTACTTTCATATGCAAAATTATGAAGTATTTTTGTGCATATTATTCTTTTCATTCAATATTTTGTATATGAGATTCATCCATACAGTTGCATGGTGCTAGACTTTCTGTTAGTTTTTTTTTTATCATTGTTTGCTATTTCATTGAATGAATGTATCATGAGTTATTTATATATTCTGCTATTAATTGACAGTTAATTCTAGTTTGCAGCTATTAAGAATAATGTTCCCCTGAACATCCTAGTGCCAGTATTTGGTGAAAATATTCATTCATGACATGCCTATTGGATAATACCTAAGAGTGAAATGTGTGTGTGTGTATAACATACTAATTAATTTACATAGTCACCAAATCTTGGCTTTGTCTGTTTTTATTTCATTTTATTTTATTTTGTTTTAAGTCATATTCTGATAATGTGTTGTAATATCTCTGTATTTTAAATATGCATTTCGAATGAGGCTGAGCTTTTTTCATATATATGTTAGCATTTGGCTATCCTCATTTGTCAAGTGCTTGTCCATGTATTTTGCCATCATTCCAACTGCATTTTTTTTCTAAGCAATATGCAGTGGTTATCATTTATGTAATATTTCCATGATAATATCCATATTTTTTCAGATACCATGTATTGTAAATATGTTTTCATATTTTTTAATTTACCTTTACTCTTTCTAAGTATGGTATATTTTGATGATTGGGAGTTCATGATTCTAAGTTATCAATTTTTAGTGGCTATTGCTTTTTACTTTTTGTTTAAGAAATCTTTGCATACCTCGAGGTCATGAGGTTATTCTGTATTACTATCCAGAAGCTTGTTAGGGTGCCAGACAGTACACAGTGGGGTGTATACAATTTTCTCCCTCTTTAAAAAATTGGGTGTCAGATCACACTACACAAAATCCAGTAATCACAGATAACTTCAGGGCTTATTACTTTTTCAGACATAAGCAAAGTGAAGGAAGTCCTTGGGTGAGCTGCAGCTGTGTCTCACCAGCAAGAGTTTGCTCTTGAATGTCTGGAAGAGGAGATGGAAGTGAGGTCATGGGGGGAAAGATATATAGAAGTTAATTTAATAACATATTTGTCTACATGAGATATGCCTATAGTATAAACTGAAATTAATGGCATTGGATAGCAAAAGGTAAATTAAGATGTGGAAGAGGTAAAATCTGCCAGTATTGAGACGCCTGGGGGGCTCAGTGGTTGAGCATCTGCCTTTGGCTCAGGACATGACCCCGGGGTCCTGGAATTGAATCCCTCATCAGGCTCCCTGCAGGGAGCCTGCTTCTCCCTCTGCCTGTGTCTCTGCATCTTTCTGTGTCTCTCATGAATAAATAAATAAAATCTTAAAAAAAATCATCCAGTATTGGTATCTAAATGGTTTTGGAGGGTGAAGCTGTTCAAGAATAACTGCAAAGATTCTGAATTAGATAACTAAGCTTTAGGCATTTATTTAGATAGAAGATATAGAAAAGGATTTCTCTAGAAGGAGAAATAGCTTTATCGAGTTTATGTGCTTTGTATTTGAATTGTCTTTGGGACTTTGGAGTAGAGAAGTCTGATGATTAGTTGGAAATATAATTTTGAATCTAAAGAGAAAACCAGTACCAGACACAAAAGATTATGAAGTCATTGGTGTGTAACTAATATTGTTGGTACTTGGAAAATTCCACGAAGAATGACCCAGGAGTTCAAAACAAGTAAATTAAGATATCAATAAGATAAATTTTAAAATAGATATACATAAGGTTAGAATAAGTATGTGAAAAGACACCTTGAAGACCTTCTAGTTGTGATAAAATTGGTGGTTAAGTAATTGGACAAGTTGGCATATATGAAGAATAAATTTGTCCATCAGAAATTGTGTTGGTAAGTCATGGGAGTATAAGAAGAATCATGAAACCAAATTTTGATAGCTCCCATCTTAAAGGAACTTAGGACCAATGGATTAATTGGCTGATCCCAAGATCTGTTGCAATAACTTGCAGTTTTTTTTTTTGGTCATATCATATGTCTTAGCTTTAAAACCAGAAGAAAAAGACCTAAATCATGAAAATGCACTAAAATAGTATCATGTTATATTATATGTTGTCTTTTAAAAAGCAGCACATACATCCATCTTTTCTGAGCTTGTTTCACTTTTGGCCAGCTACATGTTTCTGGTTGTTTTGTTTTTTGGTGAGGTTTCTTTCTGTAGCTCATTTTTTTTTATTTTATAAATTAATTTTTATTGGTGTTCAATTTACCAACATACAGAATAACACCCAGTGCTCATCCCGTCAAGTGTCCCCCTCCGTGCCCGTCACCCATTCACCCCCACCCCCCGCCCTCCTCCCCTTCCACCACCCCTAGTTCGTTTCCCAGAGTTAGGAGTCTTTATGTTCTGTGTCCCTTTCTGATATCTCCCACACATTTCTTCTCCCTTCCCTTATATTCCCCTTCACTATTATTCATATTCCCCAAATGAGTGAGAACATACACTGTTTGTCCTTCTCCGATTGACTTACTTCACTCAGCATCATACCCTCCAGTTCCATCCACGTTGAAGCAAATGGTGGGTATTTGTTGTTTCTAATGGCTGAGTAATATTCCATTGTATACATAAACCACATCTTCTTTATCCATTCATCTTTCGATGGACACCGAGGCTCCTTCCACAGTTTGGCTATTGTGGACATGGCTGCTAGAAACATCGGGGTGCAGGTGCCCCGGCGTTTCATTGCATCTGAATCTTCGGGGTAAATCCCTAACAGTGCAATTGCTGGGTCGTAGGGCAGGTCTATTTTTAATTCTTTGAGGAACCTCCACACAGTTTTCCAGAGTGGCTGCACCAGTTCACATTTTTTAAATCCCAAACATAACTAGTATGATTATTTAGGAATAAAATAAAAAGAAAAGAGAACTAGTGATATAACACTGAGGACTACATTGAGGTGAGAGGAAAATAAAAACAATTTAGTGAAGGCCTGAAGAGATATGAGAGAATGAGTGGAGAGAACCAGAAGAGAAAGACAGAAAGAATATGAACGAAGACATTAGTTGTAAAATGTAGTAGTCACAGTCTCAAAAGCTACCATGGTGACAAATAAGAACAAGACTAGAAGAAGGCAATAGACTTTTAACTGGAATAATGGACTTTTGGAGATAAGCTAAAGGGTGATACTGATAGGTAATTAAATCTAAACTGAAAACCAACATTTTAGAACTTCCATTTCACTCTTCTCTAAGATTCTCCTATTTAATGCAATAAGCTTACCATAGATTTTTTTGTTCTTTTGCTGGTTTCACTAAAGTTGCGATTAAAAGAGTACCAGAAATGGCTATTACCATTTATTATATTCTGGGCAATGTTATACATTTTGTATCTTATTTAGGCTATAGCTCAATAAATATTAATCTATTTTATGGATAGATAGTGGACTTTAGAAAGTTTAGTTCAAAAGTTACACACAGAGTAAGTGACTTGGATTTAACATAAAGCCCATGCTCTAGTCACTGCAACAAATCATTTGAGAAAATTAATATCCCTATTAGGATCTCTTCTGAACTCTTTTTGCTATTTTATTAACAGGCATTATTTCCTCAAGAGAAAAAAAAAACACTCTAGGAAATGAGAGAGAAGATAGTGGAGAATTTCAAACGGTGATAATTTTTTCAACCTAATCTATATCTGAATTTTGAGATACTCTATAATATATGGGAATTAACAGTGAGGAAACAAGATAGAAGTTAGAAACTACCAAAGACTATTTATTTTAAAATATTCATTGTCCATGGAATCCAGCTAAAAGACTCAGTTACCATAATATCCCAAAAGCCAGCTGCTTTCAAATAAACTGTACCACTAGCACAAGATGGTGCCATTAGCATATTATGATCAACACTTCGTGTCATTAGAACACTCTTACCAACTGGCCACAACCAATTCATTAACACATCAATACACAAGTGAAAAACTAAATCAACCTAATACCCAGCCTGTGGCCAGAGCACAGGCCCATAGTAATCAACTTGCAGCACCTCCAGTGAACTCTAAGCAGATGGTGCAGAGCTGCTCAATATTGCCCTCAGCCAAGTCGCAGGACACAATTTCACAGGGCTTTTATAACAGGGCTCTGAAAGCACCAGTATCACAATCCAAACATCAGGCCACACCTTCACTAGACCTCCATCAGAGAACTTCATTGTGGCCTAATCAGAGAGCCCTGAGCTCACCTGTGATACACCATAAACTTCAGACAACATCTTCGCTTGACCTGAACAAGGCATCTTCATCAATGGAGTCCAGTCAGATGAACTTGAAGTCACCATTACCTCTCCCTAAACCTCAGACTACACCTTCACCAAACTTTTGTTGGACATCACCTTCACAGAAGTCTAACCCAAAAGTCTCAGGTTCATCATCATTCCCCCCCAAATATCAAGAAACATGTTCCCTAGACATTCTCTGGACTTCATCCTCTTTGGGATCTAATCGAAGAATACTTAGCTCAACATTATCACAATCCAAGTCTCAGAAAGCATCTTCATTGGATTGCCTTTGGACATCTTTATTAGAGTGCAATCAAAGGTCTTTGAGCTCACCATCACTCAACTCTACATCTCAAATAAATGACTTGCTTCAGTCATCACGTTCATTGGAATCCAATCAAATGGATCTGAACTCACTGTTATCTGACTCAAGAACTCAGACAGCACCTGCATTGAATTCTAGTTCCTGTGTTCTGAGTTTGCCATTGTCCCACTCAAAACCAAGGAAGTCGCCTGTAGCACATTCAGTCCACCAGACTCAGAGTTTGCCCTTGTTCTCATCCAAATCTCAGACAGTGCTTACACTTAACCATGACTTCAGGACCATGAGCTCACCGGTTTGTCCCTCCAAGTTTCAGAACACCTCCTCACCAAATGACAAACAGAGAACCATAGATGTATCTCCACCCCATTCTAAACCAAATATCTCAAGTCAGACCTTCTCAAGCTCCAAACACTTTATCAGAAATACAGCTGCTTCAAAACTGGGCTCCAGATTCCAGAGTAAAAACAACTTTGATCTTTGTGCAAAGACAGAATCAAATAAAGAAATTCCATGGAGTTTAGATTATATTTATCCCTGCATTGTGAAAGGTGGCACCATCCCTGATGATATGGTAAATAAAATTGTCAATTCTCTCTCCAAGACCAGAATCCAGAGGGACCTCTGTAGGCAGATTCTCTTTCGAAGGATGAGGGGAAGGCCAAATCCTCATCCTGGTCCCCGCCTTTCATCAAATTATATGGTTTGTTTAGCTTGTGCTTCCTGCATAAAATCTCAGTGTAGCCACCTTACAGGAAGGAAGGACCCTCGCAGTGCAACACTGTTTGTCATACCAACGCCTGAACTTGGTTCTGAGGGAGAAGTGGAAGTGAAGTTAGTTTTTCTCCTTTCCCTGCCAGAGACTTCTCTCTCACCTTGTCTCCCATCCCCTGTGAAAGAAAATCAGCCTGTTGCAGCCCCTGAAGACAACGTTGAAGGGACGGAGGAGATGCAGGTTTCCCCTCCATCTGAATCTGACATCACGCAGGAGCTAAATATGGAGAACAAATGGCTAACAGCAGCCCCTGAAAACAAAGCTGTAATCCAACAACCCCAGGCTATCGACTGGCTGCTTTATGTCAAGAAAAGTAGTAATATTCAGCCACAGTCCTTGCCTCCATCCTCTTCCTCCTCCACATCCTCCTCCTCTTCCTCCTCTTCATCATCTTCTTCCTCCTCTTCCTCTTCCACTGCACCCTCCTTACCCCCTCCCTCCAAAGAGTCCACCACATCTTCTCTCTCAGGTTGTGTGTTCACTAAGGTGCTTAGTTACCACCGGTTGCCTCCAGGGGTCTCCTGGCTTGAGTTTATATGTAGTAAAAGTCACCAGCCACTTCCTGGGAATCCACAACCAAGTCAATCACGACCTCCCAAAATGAGGCCTATGAGGAATAGCACCACAGTAAAAGGGCCAAAGGGGCCAAAGATGCTGTTCAAATTTTTCCAGACAAAGTTTCAAAATGAGAGAAATATTGATTGAATTAACTTTTTGTTTCTTGGAAAGCAATTGACCTCTTAGTGCTTTGAAACTAGAGATTGATTTCCTATCATGCTTATTAAAATTCTTAGTAATAACTAAGTGTGACTGTATATTTTAGCTGAAGAAGCACCTAGTTAAGGGGAACTAGTACTCTTAAGTCTATTTTCTTGTTAAATAATAGACTGTGATCTCCTAGAAGGCAAAACTGAATCCTAGGTTTTTAACCAAATGCCTGGCTTATAGTAGCCACTGTATAATCATTGTTACATGAAATAATCCTAATTGGCCGTAAACCAGAAATACTTCACCTACCTTGTCTTGAACAGTATCTAGCTCATTGTTAGTCTCCTTCCTCATAAAACATGATAATGACAGTACCCTTAAGCCAATTCATGCTAGTCTATTTCCCTGTCTCTAAAGAAAATTCAGATCATGTTCAACAGGTAAGACTATATAGAGGGAGGAATCTTTTTTTCTAGGTATGTGAATCTCTTCCTAGTATGCGTTCCTAGGAAAATTCTTCTGTGCTAAGATCCCACACTCTAAAATCCAGTGATTTATTCAGCCTTGGGTAACAATTCTTAGGCCAGAGTAATTAACTGGTACAAATAACCCTACCTATTGTCTGTGCCAATATTTAAGTTATAGGCTCTGTGCCAGTATTTACGTTATAGGCTCTAAAGTTATGTGTTCATCACTTCTATCTATACATCCAAAATGGGTAAATAAAAATGTTTAAAAAATGTTTTTGTTCCACTGGGTCTACTGGTAGTGGGAAGAGAAGGAGTCGTCTTAGCTACTCGCCTTACATGATCATCTCGGTCCCCAAGGGCTAGCGTTAGTATCTCCAGCACACACTGATGACTCCCAGTTCTGCTCCACTAAGATCTTTCTGTTTACTGGACATTTCTGATTGGAACATTTCACAGGCATCTGAAATTCAACATATTGAACCAGAATGTATTATCTTTACATTGATAATGTGGACCACTACATTTACAGTCCTTTGCCCCTAGTGTCCTATTTCAGTGGATGTACCACCAGTCATCGTGGAGTCATGTTAGACTGTTTTGCTCATTGCCTGTACCTCTCTAAGTCCATAAGTTCTATGGCCTTATTATCCCTAGATCCCACTTTTTTATTTCTCCAACCCCATGACTACTGGCCTAGCTGTGATCACAGCCATTTGTCCCCCGGATTACTGCAATAATTCCTAAACATGCACGTCTAACTCTTGAATACATTTCCAAGACACAAATTTGATAATGCCATTCCATAGCTTAGAATCCTTTCATTATTTTCCAGTGTTTTCTTGGGAAAGTATAAATTTCTTTTATAATTAAACTATGATAGCATCTCAAAACTTATTTTCTTGTTCTTCTCCAGCTTCAACCATACCAATTGCTTTAAAATACACAGAATATGCCATGGTCTCTGTTACATCCTATACTTTTTAAAAAATCATTTTATCTTCTTTTAAGTGTACTCTTTAATTCTTATCTCCTACTTCCTCTGCCCCCTTACTCCCTCCTCTGGTAACCATCACTTTGTTTTCTATAGTTAAGAGTCTGTTTCATGGTTTGTCTTTGTCTTTCTCTCTTTTTTTCCTTTGCTCATTTGTTATATCTTAAATTCCACATATGAGTGAGATCATGCAGTATTTATTTGCCTTTCTCTGACTTATTTTGCTTAGCATTATTCTTTCTAGCTCCATCCTTGTTGTTGCAAATATCAAGATTTCAATCTTTTTATGGCTGAATAATATTCCATTTTGTATATATATATCATCTTTTTTATCCATTCATCTATTGATGGACACTTTGGCTGCTTCCATATTTTTTCTATTATAATAGTGCTGCAGTAAACATAAGCATGCATATCTTCCCTTGAAACATTGTTTTTGTATTTTCGGGGCAAATACCCAGTAGCGTGATTACTGGATCATAGCGTAGTTCAAGTTTTGATTTTTCTGAGGAGCCTCCATAACTGTTTTCTACTATAGTTGCACCAGTTTGCCTTCCCACCAGCAGTGCACAAGGCTCCCCTTTCTCCACAGCCTCACCAGCACTTGTTGTTTATGTTTTCTATTTTAGCCATGTGACAGTGATAGCTCATTGCAGTTTTAACTGCATTTCTCTGATGATAAGGTTTCACGTCATTTCATGTGACTGTTGGCCATTTCCATGTATTATTTTATGTCAGTTGAAGTCTTCTGCCCATTTTTCAATTGGATTGTTTGTTTTTTGGATTTTGGGCTGTATCAGTTCTTTTATATTTTGGATACTAACCCTTTATCAGAAATGTCATTTGCAAATATCCTTTCCTACCCAGTAGGATGCCTTTTAATTTTGTTGATTATTTAATTCACTGTGCAGAAACTTTATTTTGATGTAGTCCTAGTAGCTTATTTTTGTCTTTGTTTTGTTAGCCTCACATCCTACACTTTTTTTTAAATTTATTTTTAAAGATTTTATTTATTCATGAGACACACACACACACACAGAGAGAGAGAGAGAGAGAGAGAGAGAGAGAGATTGAGAGAGAGATAGGCAGAGGGAGAGGCAGGCTCCATGCAGGGACATGGGACTCGATCCCAGGTCTCCAGGATCAGGCCCTGGGCTGAAGGTGGTGCTAAACCACGGAGCCACCTGGGCTGCCCACATCCTACATTTTTAAATAGAAAATTCTGTGTCCAGAAAGCTCTTTCCATCTATATATTTTTATCCTTCAGGGCTGTTTTGTCTTGAAATTTCTGAAAACCCTTTTCCCGGTGCCTTTATGAAGGGGTTATTTGGCTTTTCAATGATCATAAAACTGTGTTAGCTCTTTGTACTGCTCTTAACCCATTATAAAGTAATCATTTCTAGTCTGTTTTCACTTACTATACTGAAAATTCCTGCTCACTATGTTTTTTTTTTTTTTTTAAACCTAGTCCTTGGCATGGAGTGAATACCTTAAAACAGTTTCAATATTGAATAATGCTATTGAAGCTCTTCATCTTCTTTTAATTCTCTGAAATAAGTAACATTTCATCAGTTTGCTTCCCTCCCATAAGATTGAATTGTCCTTTGTACCTCTTGTCTTGGTGAGAACATGTATAAAACTGTTACTGATGACAGCAGTCACCCTTGTCTTATTTCTCATGTTAACAGTACTTCCTTTTAGTATTTCAATATTAAATGTGATGTTGGCCGATGTATAGCTGATCAGTGATGATGAGGAAAAACTTAGGTATATGATAATGTGCTCATGACTTTCTCCAACCCATTTAGAAAACCTTTCATGTGTGCTTTATTCATCCTGCACTTCTCTTTTGGTGGAACACATCACTTTCGTATTTACTTGTTTAATGCGCTCTCCACTAGACTAAACTTCAGGAGTGGAGGTCCTGTGTCAATGTTGTTTACCACTGACTCCTCAGAACTTAGTGGTACCTGACACATATTAAGTATTCAATAAATATTTATGGAATTAAGGTAAACTAAGGAAGTACAACTGACTTTCATTTATTGGTATAATTTACACATTTAATTTTCTATCTCTTAGCTTGTTTCCTAAACTTTATACCTCTTGTAGTTTCTTTTCATTTCTTCCCTCTTTTTCTTTTTTGGACTATGATTTAGTTGCTTTTAAGTTTTCTAATGCATTGCCAGTTTTTTTTTTATCTTGTTCTTATTATAAGTGTCTACTTTTAAGATTTCTTCAAAATAATTCTTTAACCAGTATTTTCTAATTTGAAAATAAAGCTGCATCAAACTTATGAGGAAAATACATAAGCAGTGGTTATCCAACCTTGTTTCTCCCCAGCTTCTATTAAGACACTAATAAAATTTTAAAATAAGGAACACCATGTGTCATGCAAGAAGGGCCAAGAAATTTCTGCCAAATCTTGTATAGATGAGATCAGATTTCAAAAAGATAGGACTCAAAATTCACTACATTTGAAAGGAGAAATCATCTGAAAAGTAATAGAAAAAGATAATAATTGCATCTCATTGCTGCCTTTCTCCTCAAATTAAAGGGCTAGACATGGGAACAGATCATAGTACAGTTGAGAGGTAGAAAGTGGATCCTATGAGCTGTCTCATTTTGATCCAACCAATTGATATAAAATGGAATCACACATGAATAAAAACTTGACAATAATATCAAAGCATGATATACATAACTGAATGATATACATAACTGTTGGGGGAAATAATATACATAACTGTTTGCCCTCTGACCATCTTTCTTAAAAATTGTTTTAAGGAAATTATCATGACTACATAGAGTTATACAAACAAAGTAAGTTTTGTGTTTATAATAGTGAGGGATTGTGAAAAAAAAAACCCTAGATGTTCATTTATGGAAGTGTTTAAATACATTATGTTACATACATTGATATTTTCTTAGTGAAAAATTTGTTATTTCTAATATTGTACCTCCGTTTGCTTCAGGAATAGAACTACTTTCCTTAGGAAAATATTTCATTGAGAACCCTTAGGCATGGATAGTGATCCTGAGCATGGGTTGGAAGAACAAAGTTGAACAAAGAGGAGATAGTTAAACTGTATTAAGTTTCAAACTGGACCTCTTCAATGAGATATCAATGAAAAGAGAGAATGTAACATTTTTGATTTGTCTTAAGTGAAAATATACTTAGATTATAAGACATTACATGCACTTTATATATGATTACACCTTATAAAAGATTGAAATTATGCATATATGTTTATGCGTGTCTTTGCATTTGTGCAAAATCTATTTCATATATATAAGAAAGATGGAGTAACTTGAAAGTAAACACCAAAATGAAAAAAAAGTGATTATTACTGGAATTTAGTTACGATGGAATGTTTAGGAAATTAGAAGATTTTTAATCTTTTCCAAATCTTTAATGAGTGTGAATTCCTTTTGTAACCAACAACTTAAAACAAATATTTTAAAAATGAAAAATGACACTTGCTTTGTCTTCTCTATTTTAGGTGAAATATATAGGACACTATTTTGCTGTTCTA